ATTCTTACTTTCTCCCAGCACTCCCACTTCCCCAAAATGAATATCAAAGCTTTTGAAAAAAATTGAGTTTATTTTTTATTTTTCACAAATTTTCAAACTTTATTTTTTTGCTTTTATTATTTCATATTCATTTTTTGGAACCTATTATGCACCACCTGACCAAGTCTCATGACTTCAAGTTTGTGATTCAGGGCTCTGGAATCCAAAATAAGCAGCCAATTTTCACTGTCTACCCACTGTACATACACTTATTCATCTGGATTGTTGTTAAAATACTTGATCCCAAGTGAGTAGAAGAATTCCTCACATTGGAAGCCTACTAATCCACGTAACAGGATTGATCTGGATGCCCGATTGAACAATTGGATGAGTCAGCAGTAGAAGTAACATTCCTCACTGACTCCTCCCTGTTTCTTTTACAGTTTGAGGGATTTTTTACCACAAATAAACCTTCCATTTCCATTACTTGTTAACACTCATAGCACAACCCACTTAGGTTAATAGCATAGAGGCTGACAATAAATGGCTGATGAATGAGATGGAATACACGACAGTTGAGGATATTATTATCGCAGGCAAGTAAATTCTTATGATGGCTTATGAATTTAACCAATGGCCAGAAAGATTTGTTGTGTGTTGGCCGATGTTTGTGTCAGTTTTTCAGGTTAATCTTTAAGCCAAAAAAATCACCAGCAAGAATCTTTTTAGGGGGGGACCATAATCCAAAAAAGCTATTGTGAACCCCCCTATTGGCTCATAGTATGTGACTTTTTTTTATAATTTTCCATTCTTTTTTGTTAACATATTTCCTTTTTTTAAATTAAAATGCTCAATTTTTCTTAAATTCACATTCCTTTTTTTTTACTTGTTTCCATTCCATTTTCTTCTTTAATTAAGATGGCCATTTTTCATTGATTTTCCGTTCTTTTTTTTTACTTGTTTCCCTTTTTTTTATTTACTTATTTCCTTTTTTTTAATTTAGATGCTCATTTTTTCTTAATTTCCCATTCTTTTTTTTAAAAAAATTGTTTCCATTCTGTTCTTTTTTGTTAAAAAAATACAAATTCTCTTTTGACCCAATGCGGCCAATACAGGCAATAAATGTGTGTATTGCATTGGTTAAGCAATGCATCACAACAGCTTTCCAATGCGATACCAATGAAATGCATTGGTATTGCTATTGTTTAAGCATGCATTGCTAAAACAATGTGATACTGATACAAGGCAATTTATCACATGTATCCCCATTTTAGTACCAATCAATCAAAGACATACCACCTTTACAGAACCTTACCAAATGCCAATAACAACTAAACTCATTCTCATCATTACACAAACTCATTCCTAAACTTACCCTATCACTTGATTAAAACTTGCCAAGCTTAGCTTTGTGGGTCTTGTTATCTGATAGTATAAACAGGCGGAGCTTGCACCTCAATCATCCCCTTCTCCATTCAGAAAAAAGGGTCTTACAACCAATTTTTGAGTCCCACAACGGGCAAGGATGAGGGGACCTGGGGAGATAACTGGGTACCGGGATGTAAATCATGTACTCTGGAGAATCTCAGACCAAACACAGACACACCAGCAGGTACTAGCTGGACAGTAGCGGGTACCTGCAATGGGGTTAACAGGGCCAAATCTACTTTCTGGAGAAGTTCTTCATGTTGCAACAAAGGATTGCTATGATAAGCCTAATCATAACTTATGCACTAGAACCAACTCCTCCAAGAGAATAAAAAAAATAATATAAACCGTGCATTGATTTGGAATTTGAAAAGCCAATTTGATCTGCCCCAGGATTTGTTTATTTTATGTTACAGAAGCACTGGCCATCATCAGCCTCAGCCATCTTGAAATCAAGCTTAAACAAGTCCCCAATTGCTGGAGAGGCGGAAGCCAAGAAGCATACAACAAGAGTTAACTCCATTGCAAAAAATCCAATCTTCAATTGTTTGAATGTATAGGGGCTTGTACTATATCACATAAAAATCCAAATCATTTTCTGAATCTTCCCAAATTTATCTTCTTGAAATTTCTTCTTTTAATTCTCCAATTATCAAAAAGTGAGCTTCACCAAAAGCCAATTTTTTAGCCTGAAATTAAAATGAATAGTTTTTCTGAAACAGATCTCCCTGGTATTTGTTTTCAAGAGGTTTGTGTACTACTAGAAGACGGGAAAAAATGTGGATTTTTCACCTTATGATACAGGCTCTAACAGTTGAAGGTATTTACATCCATAGAAAACCATCCAATCAATCTTCTGTAAGGACTCTATTAGTCCTTCACTGGATGAAGGGGAAAGTGGCGCGGAGACGGGCTAATGAGCCAAAGAATTTTAAGACCAAACACAGAGGGGTTTGATTTCTGGCTCAGAGAGAATGCGGAGTCAGTTCTCTCCGATACAACTTTAGAAATGAAGAGAACAATGAAATGAAAAGGAAAAGGAAATCGGAGGCTCACCTGGCTCAGAGAGAATGCGGAGTCAGTTCTCTGCTGAGCCAGGAAGAGAAGTGAGAACTAGAAGTAGGATAGAGACAAGAAGACATGTACAGTGGGTGGACCGTTATTTTTGGCTGCTTGTTTTGGATCCCAGAGCTTCAAAGCACCAGATTGAAGTCATGAGACTTGGTCAATTGGTGCAGAATAGGTCCCAAAAAATGAATATGAAAAAATAAAAACAAAAAACAAAGTTTCAAAATTTGTGAAAAATAAAAAATAAAAATGTTTTTTTCCAAAAGCTTTGTTATTGATTTTGGGGGAGTGGGAGTGCTGAGAGAAAGAAAGAGTGGAACATGGGAAGAATGATTATAAATGAAAAAAATTGGAACCAAAAAAGGTTTGGCCAGGTTGGTTGTCCAGATTGGAGCCAAAACAGTAAATTCTAGTGCTTGACTGCAATGTGGGCTGGTGAATGCCCCACTCAGCAGCTGTTTGAAGCCATCTGGAAACCAATTTTTGCAAAATTTTCATTTATAATCATTTTTCTGAAATCCCAATCTTCCTTTCTCTCAGGACTCTCAATCCCCAAAAATGAATTTCAAAGCTTTTGAGAAAAATAAATTTTATTTTTTATTTTTCACAAATTTTGAAACTTTGTTTTTTGTTTTTATTTTTTCATATTCATTTTTTGGGACCTATTCTGCACCAATTGACCAAGTCTCATGACTTCAATCTGGTGCTTTGAAGCTCTGGGATCCAAAACAAGCAGCCAAAAATAACGGTCCACCCACTGTACATGACAGCCTTGTGAAACCCAACATGGAAGGGGTTTTACATCTGCTATTTTTGATGATCAGCTCTCAAGCCCCAAAACACCAAAATCTTTAATCCTTTTTTACCATATAATAAATTCATTAACTCTTAGCAGGCTTTTTGAGTGAAGCTTGCTTCATCAATCAAAATGGAAAATGATTTCAAAACCAGTTTAAAAAAAAGTTGTATTGAATAACACCCCCACATGTATTGTCATTTTGGACTTTTTCAATCAAAAGGCTGTTCCCAAATACACTCAAGTAGCTGACATATACTTGGCTCAAAGGAAATCTTAGCTCTCTGAGCAACATGAGAGAGGTCCTTCAAGGGGGGTCTAAACTGTTTTTGGAACATACCAAACATGCCAACTCAACCCCCTCAGCACCCAAATGGCCAACTAATTTCAGAAAAAAACATTTCCCTGACATCTATCCCCAACCCCTATCCCTAACCCTATGTTTCAAGGGGTGTGGGGAGAACTTCTGAAAGATTTTCATGTTTGAAAAGGTCAAAAACCAGTGTAGACCCTGTTCAAGGACCTCTCTCATGTTGCTCAGAGAGTTACTTTGAGGCTGGTATACGCCCCCCCCTCTCAGGTGCTCAGATATATGACATTGCATTTTTCACTCTTGAATTGAAACCATTCTTTAAAAAAAACAATCGATTCGATTGCATTGGCAGTGTTTTTCTATTCTTTTGAGATCATCTGTACAATCAAAACAACAGAAGAGATTTGAATATTATTTCAGCTTTTACATGTCTACAACACTATCAATCCAAACTTAACACACTGTTCCCTTCCCTCCTGACAATGGCATGGCCTGGGAGTAGAGTTGATGGTGCCACTCCAAGGGCGCGCCAATGTGCAGGCGCCTCGCACGCGCGCACTCGGCGCGCAAGAAATGATGAAAAAGGGGGGTGTGCGCCCACTGCAAACCCTAGCTTTTTCGGGGGTTTCTCTATGTGCAGCCCATAGAGGATTGCAGTTTTTTTGGGGGGGGCGGGTTTCTTGAAATTGGATTTTTTTTCGCGCCCAAAGACCCCTCATCCCTGGACCCGATACTAAAATTGTCAGGCTCAGTCAGCTGGTGGCGGGGAAAGAAATGTTCGGGGGCAAGAAAAGTCTAAGTTTGAAAAAAAAAATAGAAAAAAAAACCCAAAAACTGTGCAAAACAGTTTCTGAATGTGGCAATTGCACAGCGCCCCAGCGCGCGACCCTTGCGCCCGCCAGCGGCGCGCGCTTGGTAACAAGTTTGGACGCGCCCTTTGGCGCGCACTTTTTCAAATGTGGCGCCATCAACCCTACGCGGGAGAGGTCTTGTTACTCGCCATCGATCTGCCACCCAGTTCTGCAGCTGCTGCCGTCATACCGATACGTGGACTGGGTCGAACTGTAAGCACACTTCCCGCCCAGTGGGCGAATCTAGAAGCAATAAGTCACAGCCAAGTGTATAATCACAAGGCAAATCTTCATGACCAAATGAGGAGCAATGAAAAGTCAGATTTGCATTCACCGCACTCGGACTTGCAAGATTCCTTCCAGGAATATGTACTCCACTTGCTTGCCGGTGAAGAACCCTCCCCTGCAAGTAGAACTAAGTTGCTCTCCAAGTTGCTCTCCAAGTTGGAATCCGACCCAGAGCGAGTCCATATACCCTGCATTTGCTTTCTGGGGAGTAACTTTGCAGGTCCTGATTGAGGAGAAATCTTCCCCAGGACTTGGTAGTCCTTACAAACAACATGCCCACCTGCCGGGTAACAAATCGTTCCCGATGGCCCAACAAGCCTTGAGAAGTGTGAGAGCCGGATGCGGGACATGATAGTTGTACTTTGTTGGCAATGCTAGTCTGCATTCCTGAACACATCTGGTATCTTTTTATCTTGTTGTACTTGCAATTGAGCCTGTCATAGCCTGTAAATAAAGGGCATCGACCTCATAAAAATCAAACTCCAGGTCACTTACCCTTTCCAAGTCGGCCAAGAATTCACAAAGACTTGATAATTGTGTCACTACTGTGCGTGCTGAACAAGTACATTGTAGGATCAGGTAGGATCACATTCTGCGTAACCGATACACAGAGATCTACAATTCATTATGTATTTCTGGTCTACTTTTTGTTTCCAGATTCCGTCAGGCCTTCCCGCCGAGGAGGTCGCGAACGGAGGTCGCGCAGCGTCGATCCCAACAGAGCACAATCGGCCCAAAGAGTGATTGGACAGGACCGACCCGCCACTTCTGGCAGTGCCCACATGTGCCAGTCGTAGGCACCCAGGCGTTTGGTGGTTTACCAGTCTACCGACCGCGAGGATGAGAAGATATCTGACTGATTGCCTCTCGAGCCACCTCATTCATGCATCAACCGAAAAGCTTGACAGAGTCCCAAGAGGATCGCAGTTTCAAGGAAAGGAGTTTTCACGTCGCCAAAGGTTGTTCATGAGCTGGAAAATTGAGAAACAGGTAGAGCCCGCGCGATCACTCTCAGCTCGCTCGACAACTCACGGGCTGTTGTTTGTTTTTAACCTCATGGGCGCTTGCTGCCACCTACCTTGCTCAAATGTTTAAGGAATTTGTCGGGGCAATTTACCATTTTCATGACATCCTCCGAGCTAATCTACCAGCTTGTTCCAGACCGACCACACTTATTAGATCAAGTGTACGTGCACAACGATGTTTTAAGCACAACGCCATTCCGGCATCTGCACATCCATCAAAGCGTGTGCACAGACAACGGACCATGGTGCTTCTTCTTCTGTTATCGTCCGCTAGACATCTGCTCGACTCTTCATTTGTTATCGCTCGCCAGTGTAAGGAGGCTTGAGTTTCTTCACAGATAGTTTAGTGATTGAAGCCTTCAAACTTGACGAATTTTGTTTCGAGTCACTCCTGGATAACTTAGTCACCGCAAAACACCAACCTCCTGACTTCTCCATCAACACTCCCTTTTAACCGAAACCTCACTCCTTCTTACAAGCCGGTTAACGCAGGATAGGACATTTGGCTGGACATCATGCCCGATAGTCAAAACCTTAGTCAACCATTCGCGTCTAGCAATGAAGCTGATCGACTCGCGACCCTTGCTTCCTTGAACTTGCCGTCGGCCCATCAAGTTTCAAACCTTTCGGCTTCTTTTGATTTCGATGGTCGATCATCGGCACCGTCTTCCCTTTACTCCTCTGCCGCCACCTCGCCTAATTCTGAACATCCTCCCATTAGGAAAGATAAATCTTACTTGTCAATCAGTCGCCCCGATTCTCCAGCTACCAACGCGAGCCCGGATTGGGTTAATGATGCCCCTCGAGAATCGCATCATCCAAGTGCCACCCAGACAGGCTCCCGGGACGCGTCAAACGCTCAGGATCCGCTCATGTCGATTTCAGTTGAAAATTTCGCTTCCGCAGAGGAAACCACTCGTAGAAAATGTGACGATAGAAACCGCCTCTATTTTCCTCCAGGTGCCAACCCACTGAAATCACCTGCTGCAGGAGTCTCGTCCTCAGTGGATGTGATCAGTAAAGATTGTCCCACGGAAAAGCCCACAAAGTCCGAATCGTTCATTACTTCCAGCGGCATTTCAAGTAAAATGACTGCTCATCGAAGAGTTTCCGCTCCGCAGGACCAAAAGCCTACCACCGTCCTTCATTCAGACAACACCATTCGAAAATCTCCTCTTGTTCCAATCAGTGTCGCCAGTTCACATACTGCATGGTCGGAAAGGCGGGGTGAAAAGCGTGGTGGTTCATCCTTTCCTGGTCAAAATTACTTGTCATCTCTCCTTCATATCTTGCCCCTGTCTTCTACCTCGAACAATTCTCCTTATAGTGATAGAACTCCTTTACCCCATCTCGCAAGGCGATTTCCTGGCAGCAACCTTTTTTGGACCATCATCACCTTCATACCCCGTCTGATAGTCCGCTTTCTCCAATATCTTGTTTCTCCGTGGACCAGCTGGCTCTCCCTCCCTGATTTTCTTCTCCGAAATAACTCCTTTGGAGATCCGACAGGAGCTGTGAAATTTCGAAGGAAAGGGCTCACAAGTCTGATTGCGGCCGTTTATGTCATTTTCTGCATGTTGATGTTCAGTCACAATGTTTCGTTAAAGCTAGGACTAATTAATGGCGATAACTTGGTCTATCGAGACGCCAGAGGAGAGATGATACCACGAAAAGCTGGCGAGCTTTCCTGGGGAAACCTATTTTCAATACTCAGTCCCTTTGAAAGTAAATTGCAGATGGAGTCGATGGAGTTTGAAGATGAGTGGAATCCTCAACTTGCGCTGAAGCGGAGGCCATCCCACCCACGTTCTTCTCAAATTTGTTGAGTTTTTTTTTTCCAATCATCCCTTGACAGGACTGGCGATAAGCTGTTTATTGACGTGTACTGTATTCGTCTTTGCCTTTTCTTTGAAAACAACTTCTATATTAAAGCCGACAATTCGGCTGCCTCCCTTGCTGCCAGAATCGACACTTCCTTGAGTTCTATGACACATACTGCAAGGTTCAGCAAACTACACCCAAAATCGGGCGATCGATTCTCTGAAGAAGTTACTCCGCTTTTGTTCGAAGGGACGCATGTTTTTCCCACGGATTCGATCACTGCTTGTTTATATTCGAATCCATTTTGGCTACACAAGCTATCTGACTTCGTGCGGAGTTGGGAGGGACCCATTAGTCTGGTTGTCGAATCTTTTTCAACAGACCGGTCTGAACTCATCACCAAAATACAGAGATTGAGGAAAATGAATTCACTAATTAGGCAAAGGGTCGACTTTCATATCGTTCTGGCACCGGATGGCTCTCCAGCACAGAAGCTCAAGAATGCACAGCGTATGATGTCCGAGCCCATTGCCACTAACGCTCAGCTCAATGTAGCCCGTTTTTTCTGTCGGTCAGAATTGGTATGGCTAGTAGGAGACGCTAGGGTGCTACCTTCCACCGGCCTTTACGATCTCCTATCCCAGCAAACTAGCCTCCGGACGCGCGTGCTTGACTACGGAGACGCAATTGTCATTCCAAATTTTGCTTTCATTCGAGAAAAACAAGTATATCCCAGCAGTTTTCCGTGGACGAACGAAGTTGCTGACTTGGATCAGATGGCTCAACAATACATCAATGAATCACTCTCATCCATCGCGCTACCTCCGGATGAATGGCCGAAGACCCGTGAAGACTTGCTCAGACTCACCACTGACTCGAATAGTTCAAATCCCGACACGTCCGTGATGGTCATGTACGATCAAGCCTGGAAGCCGTCCCAGGGCCCAACTAATTGGACCATGTGGCAAAAGTTCGACCCAAAGTTCGACTCCGAAGTCAACTTCAAAACTGATTTTGCGAAGTCTTCAAAAGATGAAGTCTCCGGACCTCAAGACCAGATGTATCCCATCGTCAGTTATGACCTGAATTACGCACCTAACGTAGTCATATCCAGAGAGGGGCAGCCATGGTGCACCGAACGGTTCGAATTCAATAAGGCAGCATGCGTCTATCAAATGTATTTGTCGGGTACTGAGCTGTGGGTAATGCCAGAAGCTTGGACATTGACCGTTCAACAGATTCCTAGAAATGGGAAAGAGTTCGACGAGGATCGGGAACTAAAAGTTAGTTTTTTTTTTTTCATCAGCATGTCTTGACCCAACCGCTTTGGATTACTGACTCCCCTTCCTCCCCGCACCGCTGAATATGCAGGAGCTGATAGCAGCTAGGTTATACTCAAAGTTTCATCAAGAAGCCTGTATGCATTACGGTCGGGAGTTTTCATCACTCGACGCATGGGAAGACGATCGTTCTAAACATGCTAGAGCAGTTTGTCTGCACGTGTTGAGTTCTTGGGGTGTTGGGATATCTTCACGAGATTTGATGGTGTAGTTTAGTTTTAATTGCTTCTGAATTTCCAGTTTTACAATTTGGTTACATAACAATTTTGTGCTAGAAACAGCTGTATATGTATTAGTGTCATTTTGAGTAACTGCTTGGCTATTTTATTGGTAATATCATTCTTTTTTTATTTTTGAGGTCAATCCATTCTCATGCCTCTCAATTATGGAATGACACTTTGCCTAAAGCTTCCAAGCTGAATGGGCTACTGAAATGAATCATCCATGTATGGGAAGACTCAATAGATATTGAGCAGTTCACATGATGAATTTGTTGTTTGGATTTTATCAGCGTGAATTAAAGGCCAAAGTGCTATTGCAATAACATGATTTTCAACAAGTATTTCATCAAGGAAGACTTAATGGATTGAATGAACTAAAACTTGACCCTTGAGAACATTGAGGATATTTTTTAAACTGATTCATTTCCTGAAAGTTAAATTCCCTTGCATTGTCTAATAGAGTTTTGAAGATGATTAACCAATTTCTCAAGCATTTATTTTGTTTCCAAAAATATACACTACGTGCATCATATAATTAGGTGGTGTTTTCTCTCCACTGGGCTGAAGTTGAGTTTTAACTTTTATTGTATGTTTTATCTCTACCACTCCACATAGCTCAACTTTGAAATTCATCTGGAAAGATTTTGATTCTCATTTCTAGGTTTCCTTTCCATTTTACGTCTTCATCCACTAGGAAAAGAGAATTCTTATTTGACAGAAAGTGACATATCAGATTACAAAGGGGACTTTGTAAATTTGGTTTCATAGATGAGGGGGAAAATCATGTTGGCATGATCCCAATAGGCCGGTTCACGTCTGAAGTTTAAGGCAATTTTTAGCACATTGGTAGATAAAATTTTACAAATTTTGTCAAATCTCATGAATCATCAGGTTTGGAGCAACGCTGCCACAGATACGGTATCTGCCCGTATCTGCCATGTATCACTATGTATCTGAACCCCAATAAAAAAAAACTATCTGACCAATCTGTTTTTATTTGCAAGGAGATTCAACAAATTTGGTTTTTGGCCATGCAGCTTTGCAGAATTCTCCATGATACACACAGCTTATCGTATCTGTGGCAGCGTTGTTTGGAGGAATTTGAGATTTTTGACAAATTTGTAAAATTTTAATGCTAAATGTCATCAAATTTGCCTCAAAGTTCAGACGTGAACTGTCCTAATAAGAGACAATTTTAATTTCAGAATGTAAATAATATATGGACTCCTGGGAAAGATGGTGTCCTACCATCCAAAACAGATGTGGTTTGACAAAAATAATCCTCTCTGGGAGTTCAGGTGGTGTTTCTTGCAAAAAATTCCAGTTTTTCTTGGGTCCAAATGGTTTGAACATTGGCTATGAACACAGGGCTATGATTATCAAGGCATTGTGTACTGTGGTGTCAGAGGGGATTTGACCCAGGGTTGGTGCTTACCAATACCATCACAGTATTCACAAATTACCTAGCAGTATTGAAAAACTGCCTAGAATTTTTTTAAAACTTACCTACAAGTATTTACAAATTGACTAGCAGTACCCCCTGAAGCTGAATGGCAAAATGGCAAAAAAGTGGAGATTTATCTGAAACATGGATAGCTTGATACACTCCCAATGCACAAGTTTCCCAGATCCATCATACTATTGCAAAGACTCAAAAAAACATGCTCATCACACCCAAGTGACTACTTATCTTTTAATAGAAGACATGCTAGTGGCAAAACAGAAATAATGTCAGAAATAAAGAAATAATGAGCTAGCACAAAAGAAGACCAGATCTTCAGGCACACTAGAGAGAACACGTTGAGCGGATAACAAGGTGAAGGAAACAGGGGTGATAGACTAGAAACAAAAAGGACAAAAGACAAGAGAGGAAGATCGGTCAAATGCTGAGGAGAAGTAATTAGGGTACGGTAGGGTTCCGACCAGGACCCCGCAAATCCGGAAGAATCCGGTCAGCCCGCGGACGGGTTCAGGGTTCGGGATCGGCTTTGGGAGATCCGGCATCCGGTCGGATGCTGAAAACCCCCAGACCTCGGGGGTTTTGACGGGGAATCCCCTGGTGTACCCCGGACGGGGGCCGCTGTGCACTGGGTCTTTTCTTGCTTGACCACCTTTTTTTGGTGTAATAAAGCAAAATATACACAAAAAAAAATTTGTGAAAGATCCGGAAGAACCCGGAGCGGGGCCGGATACCCGCCGGGTTCGGCTGCGGGAGGCGTGAAACCCGGATCCGAGGCACCGGGTCGGAACCCTAGGGTACGGTTCATTAAACTGTGCGTGACAGCCGCAGAGTTGAGAACGGTGGACATGTCAGCCACCTGTGACAGTTACTCACCCAAATCCGGAACCCAAGCGCTCTTGACCATTATCCACCTTCACTCGAATCCACCCTCACTCAAACCTCGACATCACCCCGCTCCAAGTCCAAGCTCATCGATGACACCCTCGACGACAACATCATGGAACAAGAATCAGAAACGGCTTACAAAGCTCTACGTCAAGGTCTTACTTCCTCATCTGGGATCAACACGGTCGACGAGTTCTTTCGGCTTGATGAGAGTAGTAAGCCAAGCACTAATCACTCGTTAGCCCGGGTCATCAATGGAAATCTGACATACATCCTTTGGCAGAAATCACAACACAACTCTTGCTCCTTGGAGCCGAAATTTCAAAACCGCTCATCCTCCTTGGAACGAATATCCTCGCATTATATCGCGGTTGGGTCTCAAACGGATACCCGACCTTGGAACGCTTTGCTCTGAACCACCGCGTCGAACCTTTCAAGCCTCTAATCACCGTCGTGCTCGCTGACGAAGGCAAATCCAATCAAGATATTTTTGAGTTCATCAATGAAGCCTTCAACAGGCCCCCAACGCCTTTACCCACATCCACACTCACCAATTCTTCCAACCAGCTTCCTCAGTTCCCTCCTACGCCAAGACAGGTTTGGTCGAGTATTTCATCCAACAACTCGACCCCGCTCTGGAACCCGACGAAAGTTTCATCGATCAAAAGTGTAAAGAAACTTTACACGACACTGCGGAGCATTCTATGTCGAACTGGATCACTTCGTTCTTTGAGCAGGCGGTCAAGCAAAGCCCAAACATCCAAAATTCTCGCACTTGGCAGAGTAAACCTACCATACGTTTGGAGGGCATCAATTCGACACGCAAGTTGGATGGTGCTATCATGTCGCTGAACTTGGGAAATGAAAATCACATTCGAGATGTTCTGGTACGTGTCGAGCTCAAGATCAAGAACAAATCAGAGGCCTCACATGCTGCAATTTGCTTGGCAAAGTACGTTTACGAGGTCTTTAGAGCTCAGCCCACCCAAAGCTTTGTCATTGGGTTTACTCTTTGTGGAACCTCAATGCAGCTCTGGCAGTTTGTCTGGAGCAATTGGTTCTGAATCATTTGATGTCAAAGCGAGCAAAGAAAACCTCAAAAAGTTCTTCGCTCTGATTTCATTGTCATTAACGTGCAATAAGCGACTCCTCGGCTTCGATCCAACCTTCATCGACGATCAAGGACCTCATACTGCGATACAAATCGTAACCGACACCGGTACTCAAGAGCTCGTGATCGACCACCCCCACATCTTCCGAGCGGCGGGAATCTGTGGACGTGGGACAACCTGCTGGAAAGCGCATCTCTCTGTAGATGAACGCCAAACATTTCTGATCAAAGATTCATGGCAACCCAAAGACCGGAGAGAAGAAGGTGTTATGCTTCGCGACGTGACAGAAAACAACGTACCTCATGTGGCCCGATATCACCATCATGAAGACGTCCACGTGGCCGGCAACAGCGTTGACATCGAATCTCACGTTCGGAGGGGCGCCAATTTTCAAGAAAACAACGTACCTCATGTGGCCCGATATCACCATCATCAAGACGTCCACGTGGCCGGCAACAGCGTTGACATCGAATCTCACGTTCGGAGGGGCGCCAATTTTCAAACTTGCCAGACAATCAAAATCACTGATGAGCCCAATGATCCACACAAGTACCGCATGGCTTTATTAATCGGGTTCACAAACGGCTGATCCTCAAAGACGTGGGGCAACCCATTTGGAAAGTTGATTCTCCGGTTCGTCCGTTGAAGGCCCTTGAGGGCTGTATTAAAGGACATGAGGCCTTATTGAACGTTGGCTATCTTCACCGAGATATCTCGGTGAACAATCTCATGATTGACAACCAGACCGACGATCCAGATGAAAAATCCTTCCTGATCGACCTAGATGTGGCGATTCCCTACCCTACGGCGGCAAATAGTGAAGACAGCCACACCAGAACCGGCACAAAAGTTTTTATGTCAACAAGTCTGCTTACACAAGAAAATCCCCACAGTTTTGTGGATGATCTGGAATCCTTCTTTTGGGTCTTGGCAATATGTATCCATTATCCTGTGCATCAAACGAAACCAACTGTTGTGACACACTGGAATCACCACACCTTGCAAGACGTAGGGTCCATCAAGAAGGATTGTCTCCGTCTTCCTAGCCGCCTTGCCTACTTACATGAAATTTCAGCCTCTCATCGACTGTGTCCACAAGTTCGCCGAAACCATGCGCGATCCCCATGTCAGAATGAAGCAGTCCGCAACACTTTATGTTGAAATATTGGACATTTTGCGACAAGCTCAAGGAAAATTGATCGAGAGACAATAGCCGAGCCCCCATTTTTGGGTTTTAATGTCAGACCGTCAAACTGTTGTACCTACCGTCAAACTGTTGTACCTGTAGTGTATCAATTATGTAGAGCAAATAATGTAAATCCAACCTTCTTGGTTAAAGTGTTTCTACACACCACCAGCGTTTCTGCACTTTTTCCGTACTTTCTTGGTTTGTGAGTTTAGAGCATTATATTGGAGCGGGGGCAGAGATTTCATTCATGTTGAGATGGAGAGTCAGAGAGTGCTCACGCCCAGGAATCAGAATTTAGAAATCGGGGTTGTCCACTTGGCACTTGGGCAATCAAGCAGAAAATGATCATTCAAATCCCCCGAAGCTGTTTGGGTCTCTGGTTGCCCATGAGCCGCCCGGCCCGTTCTCCACCCAACATAATGGGTGACATAATGCCAGCTGCTTATCCCTGCTGTCAACCGCCTGCTAATAAACTTCCTTTTTTCACATTCAGGGTACTATGGCCGACAGGTTGGCATGGCTATGTGTCCGACTGAGGGGCAGAGCCAACGTAGTCCACCAGATTCATAACTATAGCTGACCTGTGTATGCGAATGGGAAAGGCTGGTATTCTGGGAACTGCTTGCGCTATGTTTGACATTTGTTGAAAGCAGCAAACGCTTTATCTTTCAGAACCATGAGCCCACCCGGCGGCTTTAGCCTCCGCTCCTTTCCAATTCAGATGTGCCCGTTGCACATGAATAGGTACCCCTCCGGTTCCAGTTTGTAATACCCATAACCCATGACCATTGACCTGCCAGTTTACATGCATCCTCGCAAGCTGATGGTCTTCTCACACTGATGTACACACGAAGTCGTTGGGCGCCGGGGACTTGAGAGTCTATCTTTATCTCCTTCCGTCGAGGCTTGGCAGACCCTATATGTTGTAGTAGACTATAGGCTTATAGTATGTGGAGTTTACCAGCCACTTAGAGTCGGCGTATCTTAATCCTTTCGACCGATCTTAGCTGATCTTCTGTGAAGGCATCATCGTAGAGATTTCTATTAATTGTTGTGAGTCACCTGATTGCGCTCTTCCCAGTGTCGCTGCTCGTCCAATCAACCTTGGCAACTCGACATTTTGATTTCTCTGTGAGCTGCACATAACACTTTCGACGCGACTGCTCCACTTGTGCTTCTCGACTGGAGAAATAACCCGAACGTTCATACATTCATTGATACATTCATACACACCTCCAAACCCTCCCGGCGTGGCTTCTCTGCTTGTGAGTATTAGTCTAGTATCCAAGCTGTTCAAGGCACTGCCTTTGTTCGGTTTCCTTCTTGTCTGCAACTTCAGCTGAATCGCCGTTTGCAAGAGGTAGGATAGAGCTGCCTCAAAAACCTTCCTTCATCCCCTTGACTAGTTTCAGGCGGCATCTTTCATTTGATTTCAACTCGCCTTCCCAGCAACTCATTCAGTTGCCTTGATGCATCTTTCATCGCGAAATGGGCACCAAGAGGTGTCCAATTCACATCTACGTCGCAAGAAACCACCGGCCTTATCGCGACCATTTCCCCCCGGCTTCACTCCCGTCATTGCTGAGGTATCTCCTTCCATCCATCGATCAGTCAACAAATCAGACATCGGTCCTGTCTTTCTACCACCCGCATTGCGTTCACCGTTGCCCCCATCTGACGAAAGCTTGCCAATGGAGAAGCAACGGTCCCGACACAATCGCCTTCTGAAAACGCCAATATCACCGCATCCGTTGCAAAAGAATCAAGCGAAATTGATTCCCTCGATCAGGCGAATTTGTAGTGCCACCCGCCCTTCCCAACGATCTCCAAGCACTTCTGCTATAGATGCAAGTCCTCCGTCCCCCGCTCGAGTTCACTCGGACGATACTGTCCTGCACCAGGGGCCGGCCTTTTCGACACCAATCACGAATCGACTGAGGTCTGTATCGCAACACAGCTCCATAATGAGCAGACCAAAACTGCGTGATTTGGCGCCTCTACCTTTACCGCAGGGCCCATTCCAAAATACTGGCGATAGCTGCCGTCTCCCACCGCAAGCACAGGCAACTACGAAAACCAGATTGCCTAGAATCAGGTCTATTTCCACAAGTCTCTCCGCGTCCCCTGTCGAACGAGCCAGGAATTCCATTTTGACGCGCCGTCCCAAGGACCAACCGGAGAATTATTTTAACTGCAAGCCTAAGTCGGTCCGATCGGTGCGACATTTAACCCCGGAGCCCCCAACTCCTTGCAGCGCACAAATGGATTATACACCTAGTTCTTATCTTTGCTTTGACTCGGGTGGCAGCCACCACATGGGAACGGGAGAAGAGGTCGAGTTACTGAATAAATTACCCGATTACACCTTGGACAATTGGACTGGATGGAGGAAGGAGATTCTTCTCAGCGCTTGTGACTCCTCTACCTCCGACGAACCCTCAATCTTAGATGATACATCTTGACTGAAAAGGGAACCCTTATCAACTCATCTAAGCGCCAGACTTGGTCATCACTAGATCTCGCCGTCCTCTCATGTATCTGTACATCCAAGTTGTGCAAACTATTCTTTTTCTTGATACCATGCTTATTATCTTGCTTCTTACTTTCTTTGGAAATAATCGTACATTTGTCTTCATTTATACCCATCAATTTGTGAAAAAATTGTGTATAGAATTAACAATCATTTGTATGAACTTCCCCGGTCGGAAAACAAGCACTGTGATTCTTTTTTAGTCCAAGAACATGTGATTGCTTCTTTTCATTTAGTAGTGTTTTATATTCAGTAACTAACTTGTGAATAAATCTATAGGCTTTTCTGCACTTGTGAATTCTTGAGGCATTTGGTGTTTTGTTATGTGACCCACCCATGAATATCTGAGTAATCCTGACACTAACTGAAACTTTGGTATGGGGTTTTGAAATTTGAGCCTATGTCAAGACTTTAATCAAAATCATAGTCAACCATACAGACAAAATTGAAGGCAAGCATTTGCAAGAACAAAATTACATTATGATCAGGGAAGCAATCTTGAATGTTTTGCCAGTGCATATTCTCTCCACCATGATATGTGATGAAAAACAGGAATTATAATTGAAAGTAGAACCAGAACTGTAGAAAAAATGTAAGACAAAAAGGTTAACTAACTGTGAAACCTCGCCACACACGAGTTTCACAAGGACAATCACATCTAGCTTACATAATCATCATCTAATAAATACCTCTCAGATTCACTCTTCCTAACTCGGTAGAGAACCATTACCTTCTATTCTGCCGAGCTAGGTGAGTTCATACTTATTGTTTCTTCTCTTTCACTCTTCTTTTCTTTTCCTTTCTGTTATCATCTTTATTGACTATGAAGCTTGTACTGAGAGAACCATTACCTTCTATTCTGCCGAGCTAGCTCATTTGAAATAAAGATACTCAGGTTCTAGAAAAAACGTTCTCTCCAGGCCATTGCCTGTTCTAGAAACTACAAACCCGACGATAGTGAAGAGCTCAGACGGAACTCTTACACTTTTTTTTTCTCGAACCTTTCACATCGACTTTTGGCATCAATTGATGCCAACCCGACTGAATCCGGAACCACTACTTCCCTTAACCAACCCGGAACTCATCTTAAAGAACGCACGACGCCAAGCGAGATTGGAGAAATCTCTTCAGCAAACCAAATCCACCAACAATCTCGTCGACCTCCCACCTCTTCCTCCATCCCCTACGATGTCGGATTCTCCTGAAACCTCGACCAATACAAAAGCGACCCCTTCATTGTCCCTGGATGAATACTTAAAGGGACTAATGAAATTGCAACATCAAAGCATCAACCAAGCTAACCTTGACCGAAGCACAGCATTAGACAGCTTGAAATACGAGCGGGAGCTCCGACAAGCCGATGCAGATCGGATCGCTAGGTTAGAGGAAGCCGTCCTCCGAATGTCAACCAAGCCGGACCCGGAGACGCAACCGAAGCAGACCGAAACGGGTCGCATTGACCTACAGCGTTTTCGTTCATCGGACGGACCCATATTCTCTGGACCGTTTCATGACGTCGAACGCTTCATCACATGGATCCAAAGCGTCCAAATTTTTTTTGCCACGAAGGGCGTCAAGCATGACGATGACAAGATACAGCTCATCGGCGGCCTCATTCAAGAGACCAACACAACTGCGTTCTACGCCAATGGGTTCGAAGAATTCCTCGGGAAACCGTGGTCCGAGTTCAGGACGAAACTCATCAAATTCGCCTTGCCGCCGAACTGGCAAACGACTTTGAAAGGAAAATTCAAGAATCTCCGAATGACGGGCTTGGAGTCATTTCAAACATACAGCACGCGATCACGCACGCTACAAAGCATGCTAAACTTCGATCTCAAGACCCAGGCCATATCGGACTTCGACTTGGCGGAGTCCATGACACTAGGAGCGAATGAATGTCTCCAATCGGAGATACACAATCACCAAACGCTATTGCAAGACCCGTTCGACTTTGGCACGTTCGAGAACAGAGCGAGCGGCTTCTGGGACGGAATAATCAAACGGTCCTTAATGGGATCGAAGCCAAGAATCAACTCAACATCTACCGGGGCATTGAACAACCCACAGTCGACGCGATTATCGAAAGAGGAATTCGTCTGGCGAATTCACTCCTTCTTAGATTCTCAAGGAAAGTGCCACTTCTGCAAAAAGCAGTGCGGCAGCGTGGCAGGTAAGTGTGCCGGCCCAATTGACAAGTCCCCGGTCGAGATTCCGTCAACGTTTGTCGTTCCGCCAAAGCCGAAGGACTATCAGCCCCCCAGGGCAATGGGACTTGTGACGACAACAGCAGGAAGACCGGTGCTACCTCCAGCAGGCCGGGCACCCAATAGATCGGCATCTGTGGCCGAAGTCAGTGAGCAAGCCCTATGCCCTGACCTAGATGCAGCGTCTGTTTCAGCATTCGCGGCGATCGATGAAGAGCTTCGCAGGACGGCAGAAGACAGGTCAGTATCCCCTAGAGTACCCAGGCGTCTCGTAATCCGTTTTAAGGTCAATAATCACCACTTACTGGGCCTGATTGACACAGGGGCCGAGATCAATTTGATTAACGAGCAAGCGGTGAAAGACATTGGCCTGCCGGTTTTGAATCTTGTTAACCCAACTCGAGTCAGCTTGGCGCTGAGCGATACATCGAGGACACCTTTAATTCTGAAACATTTCACGAAGGCTACGCTGATGGACGCACGGTCAGGGCTAGACTTCAATAACGTGGAACTCAGCCTGGGACCAATAGCAGGAAATTACGACATGATCCTTGGAATCCCCTTCTTATCTCATTTTAATCTTTCTGTTTCTATATCTCAACATAGTATTATTTGCGACAAGTCGGGTCGTTGTGTTGTAGATTACAGAGCTATTGATGCAATGACAACGAATGACTCTCCCAGTTTATCAATCACAGACCCCAAAGCCTATCCTTGTACACAATCAGAAGCCACGGTCTTGAGAGAATTCTCAGATTTATTCCCTCAGGACATACCAGCAATCCTAGAGGAAGACGAACCCGGTTTTCCATCCAGTGAGGGCTCCTTCCCACAAAAAATGCAGCATGAGGCCTCAAAAGTTCGACATAAAATCATATTGACAGATCCGGATGCTCAGATTAAGGAACGCCAATATGCATACCCACAGAAGTATATGGGTGCATGGCGTAAGTTATTGGATCAACATATAGATGCTGGCAGGATTTGGCGATCGACCAGTCAATACACCTCACCCAGCATGATTATACCAAAGAAATACCCGGACGCACTTCCTCGTTGGGTTTGTGACTACCGCACCCTCAATAGCCTCACAGTGAAGGATCGTTCGCCTTTACCAAACGTGGACGAACTGGTTCGTATGGTAGCCACAGGGAAAGTATTCTCGATTCTGGACCAAACCAACGCTTTTTTTCAGACACGGATGCGAGAAGCCGATATACCACTCACCGTGGTCAAGACTCCTTGGGGTTTGATGGAGTGGGTTGTCATGCCGATGGGACTGACAAACGCACCGGCTACTCATCAGGCACGCTTGGAGGAAGCGTTGGGAGAACTCATCAACGATATATGTGTTGTCTATCTTGATGATATCGTTATCTTCTCTGGGTCTTTCCAGGATCACGAGAAACATGTGCGGCTGGTGTTACAACGCTTACGATCAGCAAACTTATATTGTAGCCCGAAGAAAACCAAATTATTCCGGGGAGAAGTTAAATTTCTAGGTCATTGGATTTCAGCAGAAGGTATCCATGCAGACAACAAAAAAGTAGCCCAAGTTCTCGACTGGAAAGCACCGTCTTCGGCGAAGGGGGTCAAAAAGTTCTTGGGGACGGTACAATGGATGAAAAAATTTGTGTGGGGATTGGAGAAGTACGTCAACACCTTGACCCCTCTAACTAGCAGTAAACTAGCGGCGAAGGATTTTTGGTGGGGTGAAGCAGAAGACAAGGCGTTCGAGAACATCAAGCAGATCATGACAACCCTTCCGTGTCTCAAGAATGTGGACTACGACTCGGACGATCCACTTTGGTTGTTCACGGATGCCAGCGGTTCTGGCTTGGAGGCGGCGCTCTTTCAAGGAAAAGATTGGCAAGAGGCATCTCCTATCGCCTACAAGTCTCACCTGATGTCACCAGCAGAACGCAATTACCCGGTACACGAGCAGGAACTGCTAGCGGTGATTCATGCACTACAAAAGTGGAAGATGCTGCTTTTGGGCATGAAGGTCAACGTCATGAAGGATCACCACTCCTTGACGTACCTGCTGAAACAGAGGAATCTCAGTCGGAGGCAAGCTCGTTGGCTGGAGATTTTGTCGGATTTCAACTTACGCTTTGAATATATCAAAGGTGAAGATAATTCAGTAGCTGACGCGCTATCCAGGAAACACTTGGGGGAAAGGGATTCAGAGGTCTCTCAAGCGGACGTGGCGTGCGTGGCGGCTCTCACGGAACTAGGTAGTGAATTGTCCGGAGCGTTGAAGGCTAAGATTCTGACAGGTTACGAAGAGGATGACTTCTGTTTATCGGTGAGGAAAGTGCTTCCTTTGCGGGAAGACTGTGCAGAGGTGGAGGGGTTGTTGTTCATTGATGGTCGACTGGTTATTCCCAACGACCTGGGTCTACGGCGTAAACTAATAGAAGAAGCACACGCTCGGTTGGGGCATCTAGGATACTTGAAGACAATTGTGGAACTGCGACACGATTTTTTCTGGCCCCTTATGGCAAAAGACACTGCTTCCTTCCTTCAATTGTGCGACACGTGTCAAAAGACTAAAGCCCCAACAACTGCTCCGACTGGAAAAATGCTAACACCAACTTTTCCACGGACACCACTGTCAGATCTAGCTATTGATTTTGTGGGCCCACTAAAGACGTCCAATCACTACGATATGATTCTAACATGTACTTGCCGGTTGTCAGGGTTCACCAGGAT